TGTGCTCTGGGCCGCGCTTCCCTGACGATTTGGGCACATCGTCACTGCTGCAGATCCCGAATCCGCACGCCTGACCTTCCCCGTTCTGTTCTTGTGTATTTCAGTAGGCAAGGCCCCTTGCAGGAGTTGGAGACGGTGTCCTCAGCACGCTGGCCGGAGAAAAGGCTTTGTTTGCTGGCAGCTCTGGTGTGAAACCAGGCCTCGCGGATAAGCTGTGACTACGGATGTTCTGGTCTTCCTCGTGTTCCACTCTGCTCCTTCTGCATAATGGCTGAATTCCCGCCGTCTCTTAAACCTTCATCTGTTAATCTAGAGGGGCAGCTGTTTCACTGGGCACCCATGTCTTTGTCTGCGTCCTGCTACACTTTCTTCAGGAAGCTGCAGGGCGATCCAGACGCCTGTAACTGTTAGAGCTGCGTGTCTTGTCAGTTTTCCACGGGAAGGGTTTATATCTTAACTGCTGTCTTTTATAGCCAGGGCTCCTGAAAGGGCTGTAAATGCTCCGACACAAGTTTAAGTGCTGCGTTTAAGCTTAAGCCTGAAACAGCTGAAGCGCCAGTTATCCCCAAGTGCTTCGTCTTCTCCCTGTATTGGTTCTGTTAATTGTTTTGCAATAGGATTTCATTTTAGAGCGAAAGTGCATTTCTTATTCTCTGGAAATGAATGGCTGATTGCGTTGTTATCTATGGGAAGCTGCAGATACTGGATTTTGTTGACAAGCAATTGAACTCTCGAGGCTTAAACCTTGCTACAGAACCGGCTCTCCAAAACGCCGCTAGAGGAGTGACTCACCCGGCTGCGGACTGGCGAGGGGGAACTGCAGCTCGTCCTCGGATGCCCAGGTGAAATTCCAGTAAGCGTGGCTTCTCCGGGAAAGCCCAGGAGCGTCTCCAGGATCTCCAGCAGCAGTCTGGTCTGAACCTGCCCAGGACGAGCAGACACACACCGTCACACAGGACACCGCCGCCGCCCCCCTCCTCGGCCCCCCTCCGCTTCCCAGTGGCCGATCGGAGCCGATGTGCGCGGGTGGATCGCGAGCACGCATTTCCTCCCGCCTCTGTAATCTCTTCTTTAACCCGGTAGCGCTCATTTAATCCTCCAGGTCTCTCTAGGCCTCTGCATCCATGCAAGCCCCCCCCCACAGTGACCACTGCCCTGCTACACTGTACATACTGCCTGTAGGTGAGCAATATGTGCCCTTCAGCTCCCAGTGTCCCAGCACAGAGACCCCAGGGACCGCTGTGGCAGCGCACAGGACCAGGTCAGGGCCGCCAGCGCTCGAGATGCCCTGAGACACAGACCCACAGCAGCCGCCAGGCTGGGGGAGTGGAGCTCCGAGGACACGCCTGCACAGGACCTGCACGGGACTGCACCACACCGGCCATCGACAGAGACACTAATTACCCAGGGACAGGCCGGCACGCAAATGCTCTGACCCCACCCCTCCCCAGCCACAAGAGGTTAAAGCTGATCGGAGGGAGTTCCGGCTCTTTACCCTACTGTAGCATGATAGCATCACTCAGCTCAGGAATCTGAAGCTACAGGAAAAGCCTGATTGTATGCTAACGTTATTCTATGAACTTCAAAAAAAAAAAGAACGGCTGTGAACAAGAACAGGCCAATCAGCCAAACAACTTGTCCTGTTTAACTGCCCATTTAGCCTATTTGCTAGTTAGTAGCTAATTGATCCCAGATCTCATCCAGCCAGCGTATCAGTTTTGGCTTCAGCTACATGGCTGGGCCCTGGTTCCCCACTCTGCTCAGCTGGACAAGTTCACAGTGGGATGGGAGGGGTCCTTCTGGGAGATCAAGATCAAGCAAGTTTGCTTCCAGCTGGTTGTTTTTTTTTTTTTATATATAGAAATAGCCCAATGCATGTGCATGTGGAATACCATTTCAGCATTTCACTTTGCTTTTCGAACATGTGGTTTCTAATAAGTCAAGTAAGTTGTGATGGGGAGGCCCGGGGTCCCCCCATTCACCTTTAGACGTCTGCGAATATTGGGGACAGCAGTAGACTAACAGTGCGTGCACTTAACCGGATTCAACTGCAGTCCACTGACCCCAAGCTGGGTGCTCATTACATGCTCAGTTCCTCTCTTATTAACGAAGATTTTCCACGTGATACATACATTACATCCTTTTAAATCGATCCCATGTCCAGCAGTGCTGGGCCATTAAACACTCAATGCAGCCGGGCCAGGCTGACAGCACCCATTGATTTCCATTGGAGGAGGAACATCAGAGCTCCTCAGCAGAAAGTTGCACTGATCTACACATGGCATGCCCCATGGGTGGTGACAGCTCTTATTCATATCCTCAACAGCAAACCAGGAGATTCCTGTCAGACAAACAAGAATACTAACGAGGAATCAGGAGATCCCTATTCATCCCTCTGTTCAGAAACAGATTCTTCAGTCAGGAGAGGACATACCTCTTTACACAAAGGGTGGTAGGAGGGTGGAACAAGCTGACCACCCATATAATTGAAGCCCACACCTGGGTTTCTTTCAAGAAACAGCTAAACGAGATCCTGGAATCAATTAACCCCGTTCATAACCTCTCTTGTTCTCAGCCACATGAGATAACCGTGGAAGAGACTCTTACACTCCCAGCTGCTGCGATATCAAAAAAATAATTGTGAAATCAAGGTCAGATCCTAGTCCCTGTGGAGGCTGACCTCCTTGGAAGTTTGTCAGGCTATTAAGAAGCTGCGGGGGTGTAAGTCCCTTATCGGAGCCCTGTGGAAGCTGATGAGCATGAATGTAGACCTGACTCAGACCCCTAGACGAAGGCTGAGTATCCTGTCTGGCACTGCAAGATAAACTCCTTTCCCCCCGGGCTGCAGGGAGAAAAATCTGACAGATGCTTCTGATCCTTTGTTCATCTGAAATAAAAACACGGATCACTGCTGCTAATAAGAGTGCGCTGGCTTAACATGTGGCCAGGTGATTGTACTTGTGTGTCTGCCATCATTAATTAATTAATCAATTAAGACATCTGTTACAGTTCTGTGCTCCACTGGGCTCATTAATCAGAACATCTAAGTAACTCTGCACAATGCAACACAATTTAGGACGTATTTATCTTGGATGTGAAAGAGCTGCCTCCGAACTCTTCTGGATGTTGGTTACCTCAGCTGACAGTTCCTTCCTTACTGCTAGACAAGAGGAGATCCTCAAAATAATTAGCTCCTAACAACCAAAAAAGCTAGATGACCCAAATAGCCTCTTCCCTTAGCAACATTTTCATGTTCTTTTATGTGATAGCTCTGTTATTGCTCCTACATATATCAGAGAGCTGAACCAGTATGAACGTACTGTATATTTCCAAGCTACCTCAGATCATTTAGGCAAACAGGGACACAGAACATAAATGCACTGCAGGGAAAGAGGCAAAGCCAGGAGGTCACCATTTTACATCCAGCATAAGCCTTTGGTGGGCAGGAGCACCCAGGGTAGCCAGCTCCCACCTGCCCTTGGACAGCCACAATCCAACAGATTTAATAACTAAGCAGAGAAAAGTCAGATGCAGAGGCCTGGGTTCTCCAGGACCAGGCTGGCATTTAGCTGTAGAAAGCTGATGGAACTGATCTGAAGATTTGCCTCCTGGTCCAAACAGACTGGCGCAACATGGGGAAATATCACTGGATGTTTAAAAAAAAAAATACACAAGCGGAGAAGGACATCACACCAGTCTTGATGAAACTGGGACACGGGTTATAGCCCTGTCCTGGGGCAGGGTTAGCAGATTCCTGTACTGCATTCCTGTGTAGTTCTCTCGGATCAATTAACTCCTACAAAAAACACACAAGAAGGGCCGAATGGCTCCTCTTGTGTGTGGCTGCTCTTATTTTCTTAAGTACTAAACACACAAAACCTGGTCCCCAGATCCCAGCGTATCAGCTTTACTTTCCGTAGGCTCGTATTACTCATAGGATTCTGTGCATAAAACAAATGTGCTCAACAAATTAAACTAAAATAAATGAGGTGTCATTCTCTGCCAAATTGGACATGATTTACAAGCTCGCTGGCTTGTTTTCCCATGGTGTCTATGCTTATAGTGAAGTGGAACTGTCCTTTTAAAAGAAAGACAAAGCTCTGTCAACAGGGGTTTGCTTTTTTCACTCCATCAGCAGAACATGACACTCCTGTGGATAGTCTAGGTAGAGGCTTGTCTCTCTGGACTGGGAGCGAAGTAGGAGACCCAGGCAAAGTTACACTGAGACTTGAACACTGCGCAATACTCTGTAAGCTCTCCTGTATTCTCACTTGGATCTTGGACACTGAACAATATTCTAATCTCTCCTGTATTCTCACCTGGATCTTGGACACTGAACAATACTCTGTAATCTCTCCTGTATTCCGGCCTGAATCTTGTACTGCTCTTTAGGTCATTGACAGTGAGTAGTCTTTGCATGGGACTGTGGATAATAATTGAGCAGATTGTCTCAATCAAATATCCCAGATGATTTGTTTCATGGCCCTTATTTTATTGAATACCTACTTAATAAATAAACGATCAGGCAGTCTACCAGTATTCATCTGGTTATCAGTGTTAGTGCTTAATCAAATGCATTTGCCTGAGATCTGATAAGGGGCACATAGCTGCTATCCACTGCCTCTCCTATTGATCTGGTTTCATTGTGCCAGTTCCTTACTGACTAATGGGCGCTAAATATGCATTTCAGATCAATGATATGAGAATTATGTATGTTATGAGTCTGGCAAGAACAAACCCATTAGTGTGAAGTGATCAGTTAAACAGGTGTCAGGTCCTTCACATTTATATGCTGATGAAGGGTGCCACGAGTCAGGCACTGCTAATTTAAGTATAATTAAATGAAAATTACTGGCACTAATTTTTAAAGGAATAGCTTTTGATTGCAGGCTTACCTCCTTACTCCTTCAAAAGGGCACAAAAGTCAAAATCGTTCTACAAGCAGAAGAGAGGGCAAGCCTAATTATGTGGGAGGCCACACATACTGTATATTGGGGCTCCAAACGAGCAGCCCCAAGAGCCACAGGAGTTGCCTAGATAAAATAAACAGATTAAACAGTGACAATAGTGTCCGATGCGAGTAAAGCTCTGCAGAAGATCACGAGTGTGAGCACAACAAGCCTTCCAACTGTACTGTGTGCATCTCCCACCTCCACCAGAGCACAGGCTGCAGGTGTGCGACTGCATATGAATGTGAACAGTTCAGAGAGCATGCAGTGTACAAACCCATCCACCCATTTTTTTAACCGTTTTATCCAGCACAGGGTTGTGGGGGAGCCACAGCCTATCCCAGCAAGCAGCGGGCACAAGACAGGGTACATCTTGGATGGGACACCAGTCCATCGTAGGGCTCACACAGGCACAAACAGAGAGCATGCAAACTCCTCACAGGTAACACCCCAGGCCTGGAACTGAACCCAGGACCCTGAGCCACCATCCTGCCCTCTAATTGTTGTTTTAGAGCATAATGTTTTGTTTATTTGACATATCACGCACTCACACCAGGACCAATTTACCAAGAAGTCAACCAATTTAGCAGCATCTTTTTGGACTGCGAGAGGACACCAGAGCACCCGAAGGAAATCCACATGAACACGGGGAGAACATACAACCTCTACACAGACAGCACCCCAAGATTAGGACTTGAACCCATGACCCCTGAGATGCGAGGTAGCACTGCTAACCAGTACACCACAGTGCCACCCTCCAGGGAAAGTCTTTGTCCTCGAATTGCTTAGTGTAGCACTGGGTTCTGAGGCTACACGTCTTGATTTCTGGGAAATGTTCATATAGCCAGAGCTGTTGGTCTTAGACAGCGCATTTATTCTGAGAAATCCTGTTCTACATTTAACAGGATGCGTCATGTGAATAGCAATAGTCTCAAGAATTTTTCAGGACAGTAAGAAAACTTGACAGGAAAT